AGCCGGGTATGGAAGACTTCATAGCGGTCATCGTCATTGTCGCGGGAAAGAAAGGACTTCATCTTCTCTGCACACTCCATGGCACCCTTAATATCACTATGACTTAAACTGTGTTCTTCGGAGAATGACGCACCTTCTTCCTCCTCTTCACTGACGTGTTCTTCTTCCAACATCTCGTCGGCAGTCACTTCAGGATCTCTGATCACCTCCAGGATGTCGTCGTTGGTGGTCTCGGAGAAGCCTGGAACTGTAACAGTCTGCGCAGCTTCTCTGGCAAGGTCCACTGCTACTGCAACATTCTGAACCTCACCAGTCACAGATTGACTCCTCCTCTCACCTGGTATTCCATGCAACACATGTCTCCATGCGTGACGAATTGTAGCAATAGACAGCTGATCCCATGACTCCACCAAGAAGTCCACAGCTTTCTTGATGTTAAATACTCTCCAGAATTGTTTGAAGAGTATTTTTTGCTGTTCTAACTGTTGATCCTCATCTTCGTCGCTCTTGCTATCGGTGGTGGTGTCACTCAGGTTACGCAACTCTTCCCTGGTGTTGGTGTAGTCGTTCAGGAGCTGGAATTTTTTTGCTGAGAATGCAGCTTTCACATTGCAAATCAACTCCTGGTCCATGGGCTGGATTAAAGACGTAGTGTTGGGAGGAAGGAAGACCACTTTTACGTTGGGGTGACGATCTAACAGTAGGGGCGAGTGTCCTGGTGCGTTGTCCAGCAGCAACAAAATATTAAATGGCACATTCTGTCGCTCACAGAATTTTTTTACATCGGGAACAAAACAGTCATCAAACCAGGAGAGGGACAGTGTAGAGAACATCCACGCCTTACGTGCGGTCAGCCAGTGGACGTTTAGCTTGGTCATGTCCATTGTTTTGTAGGCGTGCGGCTTGCGTGCTGTGTGGATCACCGATTACTTGAGCTTACAGGTACCGGAGGCATTGGTGGTAAACAGGACGGTGATGCGTTCCCTCTGCATTTTCCGGCCCTGAATCCTGCTGGCATTCTTCACAACGAAGGACTTGGAAGGTAGCTTTTTCCAGAAAAGACCAGATTCGTCCATGTTAAACACCTGGTCGTCACTGTACTGTCCTTCCTTCATAATCTCACGTAAAAACGGAGGAAATTCCCGAGCCGCAGCACGATCAGCACTCGCTTCTTCACCACCAATGTTTATATTGGTGATCTTGTTCCGGATCTTAAACCTCTGTAACCACCCAGAGGAAGCATTAAAGGGTTTGGGCTCTGAAGTTCCCATCTTTCGTGCCACTGCCATGTACAGTTCACGTGCGTAGTCCTTAACAGAGCGCCTGTCGACCGCCATGTTCCGTCGCGCCTGACGCACCAAGTACCTCACAAGTAATTTTTCTGTCTTGAGAAGCACCTGGTTGTGAAAATACTTGATCATAGAAGCACCTGTAGACTTTGTGATCTTCATGTGCTCCTTTATCTTGGCTGAATCCTTCTTTATAGTCCGGATCGTAGATTCGTTCACGCCATGCTGGCGCGCCAAATCAACCTGCCTTGTTCCTTTCTCCAACTCTTGGATGATGCTATACTTCACCTCGTAGCTTAACCCTTTAGGTGCGTAATTAAATTTCGCGCCGGTTCCTGAAAAGTGTCAATTATCCTGCCAAAAATGAATTTCATATAATCACATTTTCTATATGTTTTTCCTAGAGAACTTTTAGTATATTTTCCAAATCTGGAACAAAAATTCACATATGTGTGCAAATTTCAGAGAAAAAATGACATTTATACCCAAAAATGCAGGAAATTGGTATAAATCAATGTCTGGTATATGGCAAATAAATTTAATCAATTTGGTTACTAAACAGCAAATTTAGATATGTATTACATATTCAGATAATATCAAACAAAATAGTACAAAAATAAGCTATATTGCATTCAGGAAATACTCCTATACCTCAATACATAATATGTCCGCATGTCGTCTCATTTGGGGAAGTTTTTTCAAGGCCGTGGGATATCCCCGCTTGTCGCATTTAATTAATATAATATTTTGGGCGGGTTTACCCGCATGTCGCATCCAAAGGGTTAAGGAACGTCGTGTCTTCTTTGGTTTAGTGCCGCTGGGTCCAGGTAAGGAAAGGTTTCTCTCTGGGGGTGGTGGTCCGGCGGAAGCCATTTTACGGAACAATGGATGCGCGTTTACACGGAGTGGCCTTGAGGGATGAAACTGCCGCGGCTAGGTCAAGCGTCGTCTTTCCTCCCTCCCTCCCTCCCCCGGGTGGACACGTTATAATACTGTGTGACCATCGCATTTACAATGACCAAACAGTAACAAAGGAGTACTACATCGAAGTTCTTCACCGGCTGAGGGATGCGGTAAGAAGAAAACGACCACAGCTGTGGGCAAGTGGTGACTGGCAGCCTCATCATGACAATGCACCTGCCCATTCTTAATGTCTCGTGCAGGGTTTTTTGGCAAAACATCGCATCACCCAGGTCTCTCAGCCCCCCTACAGCCCAGATTTGGCTCCCTGCGACTTCTGGCTTTTCTCAAAGCTAAAATAGCTGTTGAAAGGGAGGAGATTTCAGACCGTGGACGAGACTAAGGAGAATGAGACGAGGCAGCTGATGAAGATATATATATTGGTCCCTCGGTTAACGAAAGGTTCGATTAACGAAATTTCGGTTTACGAATTAGCTCCCATAAGGATCTTCAATTCGGTTAACGAACAATCTTCGATTAATGAAATCCTTACGACAACTACGTTTTGTTGTGAGCATCAGCTGATCGGCTAGTCCGCCAATACATGTTTACATTCGTTTCCAGTGGAGTAAATATCAAGAAGGTTGTGTTCTTGAATATTTTTGCATTTTTTATATTAAAATTATTGGTCATTCTAAGATTTAGCTATCCAAGCTCTGTCTACATATAGTTTTTCAACTAATAATTTTGCCTTGATATATGTTACTTTATTCATTTATTGAAATTCATTTACATGCACACACTGTTCAAAGGGCAAAGCTGTACTGTATATGTAATCAAAACAATGTACAAAATGATTACTAAAATTTTTGTCTAGTGCAAACTATTGCATGTTTACATTCAAATTAATCACTATCTTATAAGAATTCCAGAATGTAAATTATATTCTCCCCGGTCACTTCTATGACATTTTATAAGCAAAACAAAATAAAAATCAATCTAAAGGACATAAATATACAAATGAATACTTCACTCAGGGCCGGATTAAGACCCTTAGAGGCCCTAAGCACTTAAAAGATTTTGGTCCCCCCCCCCATATATATGTAATTCAAAATATAAACAATAATAAACCATAAAATAAAATGTTATTTTTCGAAATTAAACAAAATTTACAGTAAGATGGAAAATGTTTATTTTTGTATATGTCCACTTTATTTATAGTTGAAAAGTTTTCTCCTACTTTTTTTTAATTGCAAAGTCTTTGATCAGATCCTCAAAACTAGTCTTATGTAACACATCTGCTTCTATACTTAGTAGAGATAAGGCATCCAGCCTGCCTTGTTGCATAGTTGTTCTGATGGGATTTTTAATATACTTCAACTTAGAAAATGAACGCTCAGCTGAGCAATTTGTGGTGCCCCCCTTCCCTTGATGCCCTAAGCACGTGCTTATTTTGCTTAATGGTTAATCCAGCCCTGACTTCACTAGACCTTCGGCGCCAGCGGTCGAACATGTCATTTATTTCTTTTACGTTTCTTTTAGTATGGTGTTTGCATGTAAATGAATGAAATTAAATGAAGAAATTTATGTAAATCTACCCAAAATACAGTTGAAAAACTTTACTTTATAAAATGTACTACAGTACACTAATGTACTAAAATTTTTATCTCGTGCAAAATATATGACGTTTATATTCAAATTATTCACTGTCTTGCAAGGATTCCAGCAATGCAAATTACAGTATATTCTCCTAACATTAATCTGTCATATTATATAAGATAAAAACTTAAAGCCTACTGTGTAACCACCAAACCCTTGCTGGGGGGGGGGTGACAGTGACATGTTTGACAGTTTGCGCCAAAGGTCTAGTGAAGTATTTATTTGTTTATTTGTGTCCTTTAGATTGAGTTTTTGTTTTTTGCTTATAAAATGCCATAGAAGTGACTAGGGAGAATATAAATTACATAGCTGGAATTTTTTTAAGATAGTGATTAATTTGAATGTAAACATGCCATAGTTTGCACTAGACAAAAATTTTAGTAATTATTTTGTACATTGTTTTGATTACATGTGCAGTACAGCTTTGCCCTTTGGACAGTGTGTGCATGTAAATGAGTTTCAATAAATGAATAAAGTTACATATATCGAGCCAAAAATAATAGTTGAAAAACTTTATGTAGACAGAGCTTGGATGGCTAAATTTTAGAATGACCAATAATTTTAATATAAAAAAGTGCAAAAATATTCAAGAACACAACCTTCTTGATATTCACTCCACTGGAAACGAATGTAAACATAGAACAGATTACTGTATTGGCGGACAAGCCGATCAGCTGATGCTCACAACAAAACGTGTTTGTCGTAAGGATTTCGTTAATCAAAGTTTTGTTCGTCAACCGAATTGAAGATCCTTATGGGAGCTAATTCGTTAACCGAAATTTCGTTAATCGAACCGTTTGTTAACCGAGGGACCACTGTATTATAAAACCTAACGAAACCATTCTGAAATCCGAAAAATTCCCCTTAATCCGAAACTGTACATTATCTTCTGCACAAAAGTTGTACTTTCCTCATTGTGTATTTAAGAAGGGACTTTGCCATCCACATTTGTACTTCTTAGTGGAGAAGTCATAACTTCATTTCTATCTTTGGGTATCTATTAGATAATAATCCTTATTTCATGTTGTCTGTGAAGGTAATATGTTAACTTTTCAGTGGAAGGAAGAGAGGTGAGCTGTATGTGTGGAGAACGCTACTTGTGTCTTTATTGTATGTAGAAAAAGGTGATAATTGTAATTCAAAATTTTTCAGAAACAAAATGAGGATTGGGGCCTGCGAGACATTGATGACCTGGAGAAGGAAGCCAAGAAGAATGGTATGACCTTTGATGCCATGTTCAACATGCCTTCAAACAACAAAATTCTTATATGGGTCAAGAATGAACAGGTGTAATAGGTGTTAGTGTTGGCCTTCATGTCTTGTTACCTACTTGTGGGAATACAAAAGTACATTAATGGCATAAATTTAAAGTAAAAATAAAAATTACTTAAGGTAAAGTTTTTGTGTAGCATATTTTACTTAATGACAGCTTCAGATGCACTTATTTTTTTCTAAAGCACTTGATATATTTCTGATAGAATATTCTTAACCCTTTGTGTACAGGGGGGTTTGTGTGTTGAATAGAATTGTTTAGTGTTAGCCAAAGAAAATAGTATTAAAGGTTGCATTCCCATTCCAAAGGGGTGAAGACTCTTACTCTATGCCTCATACAGCTTACCAAAGACAGTTATTTGGTTCTAAACCAATTTTTTTTTTTTATTATTATTATTATTATTATTTTTTTTTTTTTTACATGGGGAATAGCCCACCCAGGCACAGGTCATCGACCCACAACGGGGCTGTGGAAATTTTCCACCCTTAGAATGCGTATTTCGAACCCGAGCTCTATAAACCTTGGTTGAGCTGGGGTTGGGCCAGAAGGACATTAGGAGATACAGTCAACCCTCGCTTTACGCGGTCCCACTTTCCGCGTTTCCACGTTTACGCGGTACCCTGCCGAAACAGGAATGCTCACATTCCGCCGTGCGTGTACCCCTTTACGCGGAGAGCGGCTGGCGAGCCGCGCCATTTTTGGATTCAAACCTCCCGCCATCCGCCATGTTGTGTAAGCTGTGCGAGCATGGTGCACACAAGGTCGCCCAGTCATCAAAACATTACCGAGTTCTTCACCCGCCACCCACCACAGCCGGCCCAAGTCAGTGATAGTGATAATTATAGTGAAGATATGGACTTATATGGACTTTGAGGGGTTTGACAAAGAGGCCCTGCAAGTCTCTATGGTGGATAGTGATACAATTGACACAAGTGATACAGGTGAGGGCCAATAATCTGCCCTCTGCCTCGGAACCAACTGCCCAGCCATCTTTTCTACTAATGTAAGTGTTAGAAAACCTAATATTATTGATATTTCTCTTAATTATTAATTGTTTGTGCATACCATCATCAAGTTAAGATAATATTTTTACTACAACATAGTTGTGTGTCGTCAAAAAGTGGAGTTTGGGGGTCGGTCCGGACTCTATTTCAATTAATCCCATATGTTATGTTATTCACTTTACGCGTTCCTCACTTTCTGCGGCACCCTGTGGGTTACATTAACCTCGTAAAGTGAGGGTTGGCTGTAATTGATTTGTGATATTTATTACAGGATTTACCCAAATTTAAACTAATGATAAATTACTAGAATATAGAACTACTGTTCAGTCAACCCTCACTTTACGCTGTTAATATAACCCACAGGGTGCCGCGGAAAGTGAACAACATAACATATGGGATTAATTGAAATAGAGACCGGGCCGACCCCCAAACTCCACTTTTTGACGACACACAACTATGTTGTAGTAAAAATTTTATCTTAAGTTTATGATGGTATGCACACACAATTAATATAGAAGAGGTTAGGTTAGGAAAATAAAGGTTAAGTTAGGAAAAATAAAGGTTAGGTTAAGAAAACTAAAAGTTAGGTTGAACACTTACATTAGTAGAAGAGATGGGTCGGCATACGGGGATGGAGGCTGGTTCCGAGGCAGAGGGCAGGCTACTGGCCCTCAGGTGAGTCACCATCACTGTCATCCACACTTGTCAGGGCCTCCCTGACAAATCCCTCAGTCATCTTCACTGTCTCTACTTCTGTCACTATCACTGGCTTGGGCTGTCTGTGGTGGGTTGCGGGCGAAGAACTCTGTTATGCTTTGCTGACGGCTGGTGTTTATGTTGTCGTGATAAACCTTGAAGTAGGGCTCCATAGTCTGCAACAGCTGGGTAGTGAAGATTTCAAACCTGTTTGCGTCAGGGTCGTCGGAAAGGAGGAGCTTGATTTTCTCAACACACTCGATGGCGCCCCCTAATATTACTATGGGACAAGCGGTGTTCTTCTTGGGATGACGCACCACCTGCCTCTTCACTGACGTCATCATCATCTACCATCTCGTCGGTAGTCACATCAGGATCCCTTATCACCTCCAGGATGTCATCGTTGATGGTCTCAGAGAAGCCTGCAGCTGTAACACTGCGCAGCTTCTCTGGCAAGGTCCACTGCTACTGCAACAGTCTGAACCTCACCAGTCACAGATTTACTCTGCCTAACGGCCGGAATGCCTTGCAACAAATGTCTCCATGCGTGACGAACAGTTGCTACAGACAGCTGATCCCATGCCTCCACCAAGAAGTCCACAGCTTTCTTGATGTTGAATATTCTCCAGAATTGTTTGAAAAGTATTTTCTGCTCTGCCAACTGTTGATTCTCGTCGTCTTCGGTCTTGCTATCGGTGGTGGTGTCACTCAGGATACGCAACTCTTCCCTGGTGTTGGTGTAGTCGTTCAGGAGCTTGAATTTTTTTTTTTGAGAATGCAGCTTTTACATTACAGATTAACTCTTGGTCCATGGGCTGTAATATAGACATAGTGTTGGGAGGAAGGAAGACCACTTTTACGTTGGGGTGACGATCTAACAGTAGGGGCGAGTGTCCTGGTGCGTTGTCCAGCAGCAACAAAATTTTGAATGGCACATTCTGTTGCTCACAGAATTTCTTTACATCGGGAACGAAACAGTCATCAAACCAGGAGAGGGACAGTGTAGAGAACATCCACGCCTTACGTGCGGTCAGCCAGTGGACATTTAGCTTGGTCATGTCCATGCTCTTGTAGGCGTGCGGCTTGCGTGCTGTGTGGATCACCGATAACTTGAGCTTACAGGTACCGGAGGCATTGGTGGTAAACAGGACGGTGATGCGCTTTTTCTGCAACTTCCAGCCCCGACACTTGCTGGCATTCTTCACAACGAAGGTCTTGGAAGGTAGCTTTTTCCAAAAAAGACCAGATTCGTCCATGTTAAACACCTGGTCGTCGGTGTTCTGTCCTTCCTCCATAATCTCACGTAAAAACGGAGGAAATTCCCTAGCTGCAGCACGGTCAGCACTAGCTTCTTCACCACCAATGTTGATATTGGTGATCTTGTTCCACATCTTAAACCTCTGTAACCACCCAGAGGAAGCATTAAAGTGTTTGGGCTCTGTAATTCCCATCTTTCGTGACACTGCAGCATACAGTTCACATGCGTACTCCTTAACAGAGCGCGTGTCGACCGCCATGTTCCGACGCGCCTGACGCACCAAGTAGCTCACAAGTAATTTTTCCGTCTTGAGAAGCACCTGGTTGTGGAAATACTTGATCATAGAAGCACCTGTAGACTTTGTGATCTTCATGTGCTTCTTTATCTTGGCTGCATCCTTCTTTATTGTCCGGATCGTAGATTCGTTCACACCATGCTGGCGCGCCAAATCAACCTGTCTTGTTCCTTTCTCTAACTCTTGGATGATCTTGTACTTCACCTCGTAGCTTAAGGAACATCGTGTCTTCTTGGGCTTATGGCGGCTGGGTCCAGGCAAGGAAAGGTTTCTCTCTGGGGGCGGTGGTCCGGCGGAAGCCATTTTACAGAACAATGGATGCACGATTACACGGTGTGGCCTAGAGGGATGAAACTGCCACGGCTAGGTCAAGCATCGTCTCTCCTCCCTCCCTCCCCCAGGTGGACACGTCATATTACTTTAAACCAATTACAGCTAGCAGCGGAGGGAGGTAGGGATGCATGGCCAATCACAGTCCGATACGTCATATGATGTCACTGATAACGCAACAGAGACATGCACTGCGCAACCTTACCGCGCGGCTTGCCCAGGCGGAGGCAGGAGGGGCAAATCTAAAAATAGCGTCGAGCCGGACACTCTCTGCGTAAAGGGGTACACGCACCGCAGAATGTGAGCATCCTGGGTTCCGGCAGGGTACCGCGTAAACGTGGAAACGCGTAATGTGAGGGTTGACTGTATATTGTAGTGCACAGTCGGAACCAGTGGGTCAGTTGATAACATGGCAGGGTTTAGCTAGTAAACCGATTCACAGTGGAGAGGGATTCACTACCCAACTTCGGAGAGGAACGGACGTGCCCGTTTCTTTTTGTATACGTACTGTATACCGTACACACGTGGGCTACTGGATAAGTCCACATATCCAGACAACCAGGATGAGGATACTGTTTGGGAAGTGGTCTTCCTTACAAACAACACCTCAAGTCTCCTTCTGACATTGCGTTTTCAGCTAAGTGTAATTTCTTTCATACGCTAGTGATACCTTTGTGTGAGGGCATCTGGGTTTGGGAGTTATGGCAAATAAAACACTTGGTTGCTACATCCAAGCTTTACTTGACTCATTTCACTACATATCTGAAATAACACAAAAGCAAATGTTGTAACAATTCAAAGAGGAAACAACAATGAACATAATATAACATGGTGGTTTTATCCTAATAATGAAATAAACTAAAATGATACTTACAAACAAGAACAAAATATTACAGTATTTTCCATGATGATATTTTAAAAATATCACATGGTGAAAGAAAGGAGGGTCGTAACACTGGTGTCAGGAGTGGGATAGCCAATATACTGCCAGACTGGGGTCGCTAATTCTAAGGGGAATAACTTAACACACTTCTTAATTTCTAAGGGTCGCTGCGGTGGTCGGTTAAAGCCAGACACATGGAGAGTCTGGGGTCTGGCTCCACGAGGTAGAGTGGAGCCGATTAATCATGCCGAATCAGCGCCATCGCTCATACATTGACCACTGCTGGGTATCCAACGGCTCCAAGCGACCGGTGGGGTTTCAATTAAGCCCACCCTCGATCTGAGAACGAAGTTGGAAAGCGTTACGGGAGATGGTGGGAAGCATGATGACAACACAAATAAATCTTTCGTCTCGCCACGTCAGACATTTACTTTATATTACTTCTTACACTGGGTGAATGACAATTCCACTGTTAAAGCATGAACACTGATATTCACTACAATTGACTGAATCAAACTGAATGGCTATAAACACAGAACATACCTGAGAACGAAGTTGGAAAGCGTTACGGGAGATTGACTGCCCGTCTCGCACTGGCTTATATACCCCTAAGTTGCCAGCGATCGCTACTCACGCAATGACAAATTATACACAAACCCAACTGTTACACATTCAAGGATGACCCTCAGTCTGGCGAATTACTAAAGTTGATTTACACAGACTAATTCAAGATTGAGTTTGCCAGTAGAGAGTGGAATAAACGTATTGACAACTGTGTTCGAAGGCGGGACTTATTGGGAGGGATCCTGAGTGTAAAACGAATGGGAAAAACACGTCTCTCCTTAATGCTATGAATACATACAATTAATATTATATAACCGTACCTGGGTACAATACAACACATGATTCCGTAACATTCATTAGGTGAGTTAGTCTTTATCTATGACCCCCATTTTCTGAGGTTCTACAAGCGCGGTGGATTTGAATGTTATGTAGCGTAATATGAATTAAAGGGGGTGTTTAGGAATGACAATGATGTGCGCAGTGCACCAAGCAGTGACATATCAGTCAAGATGGAAGGTGAAGGTGTTCAACCAGATGCCAGGACAGGCAAGGGGAGATTTCTATAGCTGACCTGATGCAATTCCTACAATCACAATGCAAAGAACAGAAGGAGCAACGAACAAGTGTAGTATCTTACATCATTTAATGGGAGATGGAGAAGCCACATACTGACTTGCCCAAGTGGTTTATTGTTCATCATCGTTCAACGTGCCTGACACATTCTTGATTACACAGGCCTCAACACTTTCTATATTGTAAGAAGTAATATAATGTATATATAATCAATAAAGGCAGCATATAAACATACACATATACAACACTACTTCTCCCTTTCAAAAAGAAAGCATGGCTGCTACAAATCCTAAATAAACAAAACTTACATATGGCATGGAAGAAGAGAGTAGAACACAAGAAATATAACTTCCTAACTAAACCGTTTTGAAAGGCATGTTCACAATTCAGATAATCAGAGGTCTAATTTCATTTCAGGTCTCCTAACTGTTTGATCTAGGAATATTCTCTTCATCAAGTTTTACAGGGGTTTCACTTGCACTCTGTGCATTATCAGTGACAAACATATCGTCACTACTGTCAGTTGACTCAGTGAGTGGATGCTGGGAAACATCATCTTTGACCTCATTACCATGATGATCATCTGCTACTGTATCAAGTTTATCATCATGTTCTGGTGCTACATTCATCTCATATGTGCCTGAATGATATGATCCACATGAACATACCTCAAAGAGTTACCACATTTCACTAAATATGTCCTAGATCCATACACCTTGTCAATGACACCACTTATCCAAAGTAAAAGTAAATGTACAGTACCGTAACCTTTAGCCATGTTCCTAACTCTCACTCAATCATTTACCTTGAACACTCTTTCACTGGTACTCTTATCATGATACTTACAACGGTGAGGGTGCGTCTGTGGGGCTTGGCGGGTCATGTCGCGACTCTGTAACAAAGCGTGTTCGGCACTCAGGCCTTTGATGTTGAGCGGCAGGAATTGGACAGTGATTACATAAGAACATCAAGATTGTCTTAGTGATGTGAAAGTGTAAATTGATGTAGGATTTTTAATGCTAGACGCGATTGTATTTTTGAAAACTAAATTTACACCGAGTTGGAGGTACAGCCCACAGGTCAGGAGGCATACAGCCTACAACTGCAAAATCACTGCCATATGATAAAGTTTTTATTTATTTTTTTTTACGGAGTTGTGATCACGGCTGTGATAAAAGTCAACCAGGGAGTGTACTGTAGTAGTGTGATTTTAGGTGAATCAGTTCATAGTGTCATCAGTGACAGCGGAAGAGGTTGTAAATAACTTAAAGTGAATACAAACTGGTAAGCAAGCTGGTAAGGCACCACTGCCAGCAGAGACCAAGTCGTGTTACAGGTGCCACAGAGACATTAAATTTTATTTTGTTTGTGTGCTTTCTTATGGACTGAAACTGTGCCTACAATACACTATTCACAGGGAGAAACAGTGATAGCACGAAGAGATATAGTTGTTGATGAGAGCAGGAAAAGAAAGTATAAGGAAATAACTAGTTGAAATAAAAATAAAATCTACAAGCTTGGCTATCCTTAAAGGCATTTTATTACCACCTCCAAAGAAAGTTTTAGTTTATTTTTCTGTGTTTCTGAAGGACTGAGTGGGTGTATAAAATATGTTACTCATAGCAAAATGCAGTGTACACAGAGATAGCACATAAATACTGACAAATGCCAAAGTGAACTGAAAAGGAAACGGAAGGCAACAGGGCAGGTTTAAAGCCAGAGCAGAGGGCAGATAAGTACTGTTCTTTTTTTTTTCCTCTTAATTTTTTAAATAGGTAGATCTATACTCAGTCTGCACCCCCCCCCCCTCCCTACAATAACAACAACCACCACCATGAGTATGATATGTGATTACCTCAGGGGGATGTCAGATTTGGAGCATACAGGCTGACCCTTACAGCGTTTAGGATGTTGCAAACTGCCATAAAACATGAAGGCTGTTGCTGGTATTGCCCTGACTGTGTAGTCAAGGTCAATGAGGCGATTGCAAGCCATAGGGGAACGAGTTTCCTAGGGATGAAAATAGATGAAGCTGGAGCCTTGCTGGTTGCCAAACTAGAACACGTTGGGAAAGAGATCCTTGCTAAGACTGAGGAAGTAGCCGACAGAATGGAGGTGGTTGCTAAAGCACCGTTCACACGATCGAACAGTGCCCGTATACCGGGCAAAGCTTGTGTGTTGTCTTACACACGGAGGTGCTGGTTGGCAGCAGTCACACTCTGCCGCTGGTAGCTAGTAGGTGGTCGGTAGTAGCTGCTGCGGTACAATCACCATGGTGTGTCGCAGGACAGTTAAATCGAAGACTATAGCGCTGTGTATAATAATTGCTAGTGTGCAAAAAGAAGAAAAAACAGAAAAGGGAATGGTGTAAGGAATGCTTATCTCAACGAAAAGTTAAGGGAAGTCCTGCCACGATTTTACGTGAACTGCAAGGTTAACATGAGAAAGACTTCACTAACTACATGAGAATAGACCCCAACACCTTCTATAGACTTCTCGCTAAATTGGAACCATACATAAAAAAACAAGATACCATTATGAGGCAGAGCATATCTCCAGAGGCTCGTCTAGAGGCTACGCTCATATTTCTTTCAACTGGGTGCTCCTACACGTCGCTTCAGTATACAACGAGGATATTCAAACAAAGTTTGTCTACCATAATACCTGCAACTTGTCAAGCTATATATGAAGTATTCAAGGAAGATTACGTGCAGGTGAGATTTGTAGTATACATAGTTATTCAATTTTGAGGGTCACGAGAGGTTCCCATGGTAAAACATGTCTTATTATGTGATATAGTAGGCTTAGTAGGGTTTCCGGTTTTTATCGATTATTAATGAAAATAACACTGTTTTTGTAAAAGGGGATAACCCTCCATACACATGATACATGATGGACCTGTTTAGGACACAAGGTTGCTTCAAAAACGCTATAGACAACTTATTATACACTGTATTTAACATAATTACATACTCCCTAGTGTATGTAGTCTTAAATTAAATATCTGAGGACCCACTCCAAACAATTAAGACATGTAAACCAAACCAACATGCATATTCGTCAATAAAAATAAAATACTAGAGTATGTTTTAACAACAGTTATCACTGTTTGCCACTAATGACGCATCTATAGTTATAATAAGTACGCGTATCCAACACCCTCATTATATAAATGACCCTTACATAATAGTCGTTGAGGAGGAAAGCCTACCTAGTTTCCCCAGATAAAGGATCTCATAAATAAGTTTCTGAGCATGTATTTTATTTTCACCGCTCATCTGTCGAAGATCGTTAGCAACAACCTGACCAAAATCACTGTCTGCATCATTTATAATATTTTCGGAGGAAGATAATGACTGCAGGTGGTGGATGGCCTCTTTCAGGACATTATCAGCATCGTCAGAAACCCTTTTGGTCGGTTGTTTACTTGTTGACGGTGTGGGTGAGGGTTCACGAGTATTCAATTCTGCAGCCGAACGAGAGAGAGTCGGCGTAGCCATACGAGGGACGGTGGGCGTGGCCGAACCAGTGACAGTGGCTGGTGGATTATCATCAAGTCCCAGCAGTAGCGGATCGTTGAATATCTATAAATAAAAAAAAATATACACAAGCCCTTTGTTAATAGTGACACAAAAAAATATATACATACATATTACGTACAATACACAGAGAGACAGAGACACAGAGAGAGAGAGCGATTGCATACGTACCTCGTGATCAGAATGCACCTCGGACATATCTTCTGTAGTGTGAGTATCCATGTTTGACACAGATTGTCGAATTGTGTCACCATCAATGAGGAAATACAGTGCATCAAAGCACCATAATGTGGGAATATAAATGTCCTCAGTTCCAGCTCCAGACTTTTTTGATTTTTGCATCTTTCTTAGTTCCAGTCTATGCTGATTTCGAAGTGATTCAATTTTTCTCTTCACCTCACTTGTGGTAACTGTAGTCCCGCTTCTATTCATGTCCTCTGTAATCTGTCTCAGTGCCGCTGCACGTTTGTCCCTATCCCTGTACATGTCCACTTTGACATTCCATAGATAAGGGTGCTGACGATAGAGTTCAATCAACACCATGGTCTCTTCTCTAGACCAATGAATGTTTCCTTGGTCTGTGGCGGACGGAGGAACAGACATTTTTCAGTGGTGACTTGTGGCGAGACTGAAAAACTGGCAGCCAGGGTTCCAAGGTTAACTTCGTTTGTCTGGCAGGGTCGTCCATCCATACCCGGCAGCAAACGGTCAAACCACCAGGCAGACGGCCTTATCTGGTGATTTCGCTCGACCACGGGCACTCCGTTGGTTTGCCCGTCAATTTTGCCCGAACAATGGACATTAAGCGAGTGCTCAATCGTGTGGACAGGGCTTAAGAGGAGATATGCTGACGTATTAGCAGGGCCACGGGAGGGGGCGGAGAGTAATGCAGAATCAGAACAGGTTCTACAGCAGCTAGGGACTCTAAAGAAGTGTGTCGAAGAAATAAAAAACGGACCTAATGTTAGGGGAGAGGAGGAACAACGGGAACATCTCCAGCGCAGGAACAATGTAATAGTTTTTGGAGTCCCTGAGAGCCAGGCGGAGGGAACCGAGAGTAAGATAACACCTGATAAGATGCAGTTTAAAAATATTTGTACAGAGGTTCTAAAGATGCCACCAACCCCTCAGGATGTAAGGAGGCTGGTACAAAACGGGGGGACAAGCCTCGCCCCTTCAGGATCACACTAGTGAGTGAGGAGGAGAAATGGGAGGTTATTCGGCATGCAAAAAAATTAGCAAGGAGCGAAGCATTTTTTACTGTATTCATCACACGGTAATGCAGAGGGAATAGCACAGGAAGCTCCTGCAGGCTTGAAGCAGAAGAGGGAGGAGGAGTGGGGATGGGTGTACATGGGTTGTATTCAGGGAGAGAGTGGTGGAAGCAAGTGTGTCGACACAGGGCCAGGGCACAGCAGCGCACCCTCCACCAGCTCTACCCCCCCGCCCGGGAGGTGGCACCAGCTCCGCCTATCAGCCCGGAGGAGGCGAACGCCTTGTAAACAATGACATTTCTAACCACACCCTGTAAAATACAGTGTACTTCGCTAATGCTGCAGCTTTTGAGAATGGGGGGAGAGGGCGGGGTAACTACTAAGAGCAGAGACGTTACCGAGAACAAATTTGGGCTTGAATGTCATGTACACTAATACTGACACGTTCCTTGATAAGAGAGAGGAGTTTGAAACACTACTAAAGGTACACCAACCAGATATTGTAGGAGTCGCCGAACTGTTGTACAAGAACAGTTGAATCGACCCAGAGGAATGTGAGTTCAGTATTGCTGGATATGACTTGTTTACGAACCTTTCTCAAGAAACTTGCAAGAGGGGTGTGGTTATCTATGCTAGGCAAGACCTTGAATCCAGCCAGGCGAGGGTACAGGGAAAGGATGTTTTTGAAGAGTCCAAGTGGTGTAAAATTAAACTAAAGGGAAGGGACTTGATTATTGTCGGTGTATCTCCAGATCCCCAAACTGTGGCCCACTAAATCAAAGGAACTTGGGAGCCTTAATAGACGAGGCGATGCTCAACATCTAGCCACCTCCTTATCATGGGGGACTTTAACTATGGCGACATCGACTAGAGAAATGAGTTCACCCCAAGTGACTTGATTAACCCTGCTACTCTTTTTGTAGAAACTCTGAGAGATAATTTTCTGTTCCAACATGTTAGAGACCCGACACATTACAGAGGGGAGCAAACACCCAAGCCAATAGACATCATAACAAACGAGGAGGGTATGGTGGCCAAACTGGAACTCCTCGCCCCAGTTGGCACCAGTCACCATATAGTGTTGTCATTCAGATTTAACTGTTACCTAGTTCAAGATAAGGCCAGGCCAAGGTGCAAATATTACAGGGGAAATTACACCGGGATGAGGGAAGAGATGAGGGCTATCCACTGGCCTGAATCATTAGGCACAAGAACGCAGACACTATGCTGAATATCATAACTAGTAAAGTGACCCATTTGATCAATAAATACATACCCAAGACCAAACCCAGTGCCTCAAGGAATACGAGGGGACCCCTACACATGAACCATGCGGCGGTCGACAAAGTTAAGAAGAAAACCTAAAAATTCAAGACGTGGGTTGGGTCAAATGATGAGCAGGACAGGAGGATGTATGCAAGAGCCAGAAACCAAGCAAAGATAGAATGAAGAAGGGCTGAAAAGGCGTTTTAGAGGCTGGTTGCAAGCGAGGTCAAGTCGAACCCAAAGGCGTTTTACCGCTATGCAAAGTCGAAATTGAAAACGCGAGTAGGAGTATCAGACCTGAGGCTTGAAGATGGTAGTTACTACGCAGATTCTGACCAGGATAAAGCTGAGGCATTGAACAGCTTTTTTCCTCAGTGTTCACAAGAGAGGATACAATTAACCTGTGGGGTATGGGATGGTTTGGGTTCACACTCAGGATGGGATGGAGAAAGGAAACTCACAATGTGCTCTCTGTATACATGTTGTATTGGATGTACAATGCAGCTTGGTGCTGGGAAGTGGCAGCGTGGTTACAAGCGTGATGTAGAGAGAGCTGGTTGGTGGGGATGCTCAGAGGAGGACAGCTTGTGGGTCGCCATGCTCGCCGGCGGGGGCGAGGGCCGCCAGGCAGCGGCGGAGGAGGTGGTGGTGTTGCTTGCTGGTTGGTGTAGGTAGAAAAGAGAGTGGTCACCACGAGGTCAGGTCTTTTATAGCGGAGGTAGGCTTGGGTAGATAGTTGACCCCCACTCCGTGAGCAGCGCTGGTTGACCTAGACCATGAGGCATACACTGGGGAATTCAAGGGGTCGGCTACTCAGCGACAAACAGCGTTTGTAGGGGAGAAATCCACTACAAACCTTCCTGCGTTCGAGGACAAACGGCTCGACACAGCACTGACCCACATTGTGTTCACAGAAGAGGGTATTAGAAATAAACTGTCCAGGCTAATGGTCCAGGCTAAAGGTCCATAAGAGTCCTTGCCCTGACATGGTGCATCCTAAAGTGCTAAGAGAGTTATGCAACGAGCTTGCCGAGTCCCTGTTGATCCTGTTTTGTAAATACCTGGATGAATGAAAGGTCCCCAGTGAATGGAAAGTGACTTATGTGAGTCGTATCTTCAAGAAGGGCGTTCGTCTTTCCACGAACAACTATAGACCGGTGAGCTTGACCAACATAATATGTAATGTACTTGGGTGTATTATCAGAGATGCCGTGATGGAACATCTACTACTAAACAACCTTGTAAAGGGTTGCCAACATGGTTTTATGCCGGGGCACTCCTGCTTAACACAATTGCTCAAGGTATTGGATAATTGGACCCATATTCTGGAACAGGGTGGTAAAATCAACAATATTTACCAAGATTTTGCGAAGGCTTTCGACAGTGTACCCCACGAAAGGCTGAAAATCAAACTGGAAGGGTACTGAATTCGGGGAAATGTCCTAGCGTGGATAGAAGACTTTCTACATGACCGCAAGCAGTGTGTGGTGATTAATGGCATGAAATCATCATCCGTACCTGTCACAAGCGGGGTACCACAGGGCAGTGTATTGGGCCTGCTGTTGTTTGTTTGTTTCATAAATGACATACCTTACGCTGTACACTCCTCCATACAAATGTTTGCCAATGACGCCAAGTTATTTCGGGAAATCAAGAACCAAGCGGACTATGAAGAGCTGCAGAATGACCTCTGTGGGCTCCAAGAATTGTCGAAGAAATGGCTGCTGAGATTTAATATCACAAAATGTAAGAGGATGCACCTGGGGTGTACCAACGGTAAGGAAGCGTATCATATGTCCCAACGGGATGAAGAAACTGCACTATTTGAGCCTGAATGTGAGAAGATCCTAGGTGTGTTTGTTGACAATGTGCTGTTGTTCTCGGGCCATTGCAAGAAGAAGGTAAATCAAACAAATAAATTATTGGGTCTTATAAGAAGGCCGTTCAGATATCTAGACGGTCCGTCCTTCGTAATGATCGTCAAGAGTGAAGTGCTTCCCCGTCTGGAGTACTGTCACCCCGTCTGGTCCCCGAGATATGCTAAGGACTGTCAGTTGGTTGAAAATGTTCAAAGGATTGCCACCAGACTGGTGCCTGCCCTTCGGTAGCTCATCTACCCTGAGAGATTGGAGCGCCTGAACTTGCCAAGCTTATACTACAGACGGGCAAGCGGTGACCTAATGGAGGTGTATAAGCATTGCAAGGGGCACTACTCAGTTGAGTGTCCTTACTTGGAGCTGGTGGATGCTCTCCCCACAAGGGATCACAGCTCAAGATTGAAGAAGCCACAAGTCCAGAAAACTGTGAGGGCAAACTTTTTCGGAGTGAGGGTTGTAAACTCTTGGAACAATCTACCAGAAAGTGTTGTGACGGCACCGAGTGTGAGCTCTTTCAAGACAAGACTTGACCAACACTGGAGTGGGTTCAGGTACATTCAGGAGCCGGTGCATGCCCAGTACTTGCCAACAGTGCGTGACAGAGACGTGACCGATCGCTCGGGCGGCTAGCGAGCTGATGTTTTGGTGAAGAGGATAAAAGAAAAGGAAAAGTAATCACAGACGTGACCTAATGCCCAAACGACTAACGAGCCGATCAGTGGTGAAGAGCATAAAAGTAATACTTCAAGTGAGAATCTGAACACATTCTATTGAAATCACACCAATACTTCCAATAAATGCCACAGCTACAAATAAAACCTTGGATTACATAACCTTTGTACATATGACACTTCCGGTGACACTCAGAAATGAACACTGTTCATCACACTCTAAACACGGAGGATGTATACTGCCCACTAAATGTCTGTAAATGTCAATGTATTAATCCAATGGTCACAATATATAAATTACACTAATAGGCACTTAACACTTTTTGAAATTTCACACAATAAAAAACAAAAAATTACAAGTTAGGTAAGTTACCCCCAAAAAATTTGGTGCATTTCCTAACTCATGTGACAAAAATTTTTTCACTTCACAAAAAAAATTGTGAAACTGAATCAATTGTTAGTTCCTACTTATCTCTTCAAAAAAATTCTTTGCACTTACAAATACAGTGTTGTACTTAAGTCACAAATGTTTGTACTTTGAAATAATCACAAATTTATTTGTACTCTTAATACTG